TGAAGGCGAAGAAGCTGCAACACCTTGCGGACCTTTGGGATCACACCATTGATAACCCCGATCCAGATCACAAATGCCAGTTTGGGCTCTGCAGGGACATAGAAGTTGCCAGATTTTCTCGCCATCCTAGCCATTCGGATCTCAGTTCTGTATATGTCTGTACTCCTTAGGATAGTGCCTGACTTTTTCATATATAAGTTTCCTCATCGCCTTGTGAAGTGTCTTCTGGGCAAACTTCTTTGTCAGGTGCTTTATCTTCAACTCTGTGAAATGTTTTAGCTTTTGTTAAGGGATTCTGGCACAGCAGGAACCTTCTTTTTCTTCTCTTCTATGCCCTCCATGGTTCCAGCTGGAAAAGAGCCTTGTGGGGTATCTGTGGTTTTGTTTTTTTTTTTTTTGTTTTTCTTTCTTTCTATTTATTTATTTATTTATTTATCAGTACTGGCATTGAACTTAGGCCCTTGCACTTGCCAGGCAAGTGCTTATTCTACTGAGCTGTCTACCTGGCCCATGCTGTCTGCCCAGCCCCCTTGTGGGGTTTGTAATGGGGAAAATTATTCTCCTGAGACATGAGTTGCTCTGCATTGTCTGCTTAAAGGGGGACATGAAAATCTTTTTCCCCTCAATATTTTTAACTATAGAATTCATGTTCTGTGCCTCTGTCCAAGTAGAAATACCAATGAAGTCAGTATGGAGCTATGGTCCTCTGGTAGCAAATGAGCACTTGGATAGGTCTGCCATTGGCTGGAGTGGCCAACATCCATCACTGAGTCTCCCAGATATCAATGACTGTGGGTGCTGGGAACACCTAAGCAGCCCAACAATTCCCCCCTTCACTTAGGCCTTGGGCAGATTGGGACTATGGGCCAAAGCTCCATAGATTACCAACTTCTGCTCCAGGATGCTTGGCTGCCAGTGTTGTCCAATGCCCAGTTTGCTCTGAATGCCTCCCAACAGAGCCAAGGGGTTGCTAACAGGGTTGCTGTTGCAATTAGCAGCCTTGGGCACCTAGCCTTCCTTCTGGTGGTCCCTGCATTGTAACCCTAGATTGAGGCCCCATCCAAAGCAAAATCTGATGCACCTGAGCTCTTCTCCTTCCACAGCATTCAAACTGTTTCCAAGGTCTTGTCCTTTCTCTTTAAGTTGCTGTCCCCTGCCTGTCTGATTGTGCTCACTGCTGGCTGGTAGTCCCACCCTCCATCCACCCAGCTGAGACTTGCCCAGCTGGTACTTAGTTCTTCCTCCTGTGAGCCAGGTGTTGGAGGACTTCCCCTAACCCCATAAATTCAGCTTTTCTGTGTCACAGTTGCCATTCTCCAAGGGCTTAGGCTAACCATTGTGGCAGGTGTCTGCATGGAACAAGAGTCAGTGTATTCCTGTTGCTTTAGACTTACGAGTGCTGGCTGCCTATAGTACCCTATCTTCCTCAAATCTCAGATGTCCCTTCCTCAGCAATATTTGACTTTACAGAGCACCAAATCCCAGGTTTAGTACAGTTTATAGTAAAGAACATAGCCTTGTGGATGACCCAGGGGGATTCTATTTCTACCTGTGTGTGGGCAGGTCACTCTTTGGAGATCCATTCTGCCACAGGCAAAGTGGGGGTGAGATATACTTTGCACGGTGCTTGGAGGTGTAAATGAAGCACTCCATGTGTGGTCTTAATGCTTTATAGTAATTCTTTCCTCATCACTACCTTAAAATATCATAGGCAGATGTTTTCCAGTTATTTCTGCATTTACTGAGGCAGGGATTTTCCCAAGGTAAAGGTTGGTTTCTCTTGCCTGTCTATGGTATTTTGTAAAGCTACATGTCTATATCTTTTGTAAAGACCATACCACAGGTTTCTTTCTCCAAAATAAGTGCTAATTTCAGCAGTGAAGGGAGGTACCGTTGAGCTGTTGGTGATTCAGTTGAATGTGAAACTACCCTCTCCTTCCAAAAAGGATGGTCCGCAACTACACTGATTAGCCCACAACATCACATAGGGAATAAACTAATTATGCATAAGGGAAACATGAACACCCTCATACTCCTGTAACACTACATTAGGGCTACAGCAGACAATAGGTTTTGGTGCTTGCCCTCTGTTAGTGAACAGTGGATGCCTAAGTGATCTTTTCAGTGACCAAATTACATTTTGACCCCACTATGACAGTATCATATACACTGAACTTGCCATTATGACTTAGAACATGGAAGAACCTTTTAGCTTCATGAATCAAAACAGTACCTTCAAGCTGAACACGGTGGCTCACACCTATAATTCCAGCACTGGTGAGGCTGAGGCAGAATTGTTGAAAGTTCAAGACCAGCCTGGGCTACAAAGTGAGCTCAAGGCCAGCCTGAACTGCATAGTGAGACCCTGTCTCAAAAAGACCAAAAGAAAAAAAAAATAGTACCTTAGTAAACCCAACAGGAATGACCATAGAGGCCCTGTGGTTCAGTCCATACTTACAGATGAGTCTTCTCATGTTTGGACTGGAGGCCATGCAGAACTGTGAAGAGAAGCCAGTACAAGCAAAATGAAACAGCTCCTGGGCTTGGCTCCCTGGGGGAGTCCTGTGCCTACCACTTTGGACAAAAATCCTTAGGTGTTTTTCTGTTTAAATTTCTGCATGAGCACAGCAGGGACTTGTCTGCTTTCAGCACAGTGTGTGTGGGTGGCAGTACATTAGAACACTGGTTCCAAAATTGGGCTCAATGTGTGTTGAGCACCTCACCCTGAATCTAAACTGGGCTTGTTGTATAGATCTTCCTGCCTCAGCCTTCTAGATTGCTAGTATTACAGGTATGTACCACCATTCCTAGTTAGAGTTAAAAAAAATGGGGAGCAGTATCAAATAACAGAATCTGAGACATTGGTCCCAAATGTTGAGATATGTATAGGTAGGAGAGCAAATCTCCTGCATGTAACAGGAATAAAAATACTTGGGCAATTTCCTTTTGTATAAAGTGGGGAAATAGTCTTGTTGGGAGAGTTAAATGGAATGATAGTGTAAGTATCACAAATTGCAATCAACTCATGACCCAGGTCAAATTAGCAAGTTTTTCTTACAAGTTCAGGTCAGAGAGAGTGCTCCAGAGCCCAAAAGATACAGGAGCAGAGGAAGTTCCAATACTGTTCTTTTCCCAGTTCCTTGAGTACTGATGAAAATAAGATCGCCACCGCACTCCAGGATGACAGCGAAGTACTGACCAACAGGGCAAAATTCTGAAGAAATATTTTCAAATATTGATACATTACCTGACTGAAAAGCCAAAAGTATTTCAAAATCTGTAGAACAAGCATAAGGAACTTGGAATTTGTTTACACAGGGCAAGCAAAGTGAAAATTTCAACAGCATCCAGATGAATAGAGTCTGGGAAACTTTGCTGGATTGTTCAGTAGAGCACTTGTCCTCTTGTCCTCTCCACGCTTTCCCTGTCCCCCACCACCTGATTCCCAGTTTCTATCATTATATCTTGTCTGAATTATGTGTATGCATTTACTTCGGCCCTTCATTTCACTGTATAGACATCATGCTGGTAAACATGGACATATACAATACATGTAGATGTTCCAAGAGAATTAGTTGGTTGAAGGACACTGATCTGAATTCTCTTTTCCTTTACCATGCATAACCTGCCAGTGAAGGACAGTGTGAAGGGTGCATTAGTAATGTTCAAGTGAATTAGCTTGAAGTCCTTATATTTCAAAGTGAGCCCTTCCTGTAAATGTTCTAGAGCTGCTATAAACCCTTTTAGGTACAAAGCATATTCCATGTACCCTTAGATCATATGCACAATCCAGATATTTATACCCTCATTTATTTCCCTGTGTATCAGAGATCATCCTTAAATTTGAACATCTGCTTCTTTTCTTGGTTTCTGGATTCACTGAGAGTATCTGTGAACAAGACTGTGTATTTGAAACTGATTTTGACAGGAAGTATGGAGAGTTGGCCTGGAGAGATGAGGATGGGCATGCATTTGAAGAGAAACAATAGCTCCTCCTTTCAGCAGGCTTACATTCATTTTATATTCACCCATGATTTTGTTTCTAAGTAGCAGGCTGGGATGTGATGGCCAGAGACTTGATGGAACTATTTAAACATTAATAAATGACTTTCATTCTTGTTTGTGACATACAGTAGGTACTCCCAGAATGATTAAATAAGACAACCAAAATGATTTTTAAAATTAACCCATTTATTGATTCCTTCTAAAGAGCTAATTCCAAGGTATCCATTTTATCCATGGCTACATACAGTGATGGAATCACACTTTTTAAATCTCTAAAAATCACAGATAAAATTTAGGAAATGATGTGAAGGTTTCTACTGATCTGTGGACTAGACTTTTGGTGTCTTAGAATGAAAGGGAGGGATACAATGTTAAGAAAGGATAGTAAGAGAGGAAGACTCCCAGAAATCAGAATACAATGAGCTGCAGCTTACATGTGGATTTAGAAGACTTTGTTTTCCTGGAACTACTGAGGCAATGGTAAAAGTTATGTCACTTTCTAAAACCATGTCTTTGTCAGTCTAATGCAGCTAAACAATAGTGCAAGCACAAAAAGGGTTTTTATTGAATTTGAAGAACATTGTGTTTATTTCCCTATAACACGTATAGAGTCCTAGTCATGTTTCACTTTGGCGGTCACTAGGTTTGCTTGTGTTACCTGAATTTATACCTACTGTCTCAATGGCAAGTGTTGGAAGCATGAATTAAAGATTGTGAAGGTACTTGGCTTTTGCCACAGAAAGATTACGTATGGACACATTTGAGGGAACTGGACATAACTCTTGGGAAACTTCAGATGCCAAATTTCTGAGTATTTAACAATATGAATTAAAAAAACAAGTAGAAGCTCCTTAATCCATCTAGCCAGTATGTTTGGCCCTAAAGGCGTGGACATGGGCTGGCTTTCTTAGCAGTATGTTAAGGGCAGTGGAGACCCAGAAGAAAACACAGAAGTTTTCCTTGCTGTCCTTCTTCCCTAGTCACACCTTATAGAAATGTTCATTCAGTGCTGCAGCATTTCACTGACTGCTTCTACAAGCGCTTCTCTTGCACTTGGGTTCTCTGGTTTGGAGAAGAGTAGAAGTCTGATAGTTGCCGTCATGCTGACGTGAGTCGGTGCTAGGCTCGTGTAACATCTTGGGCCTCGAGTGTTCACTGTGAGGATGACACTACCTAAACAGTGATGATTCTGTGTGACATGCTAATGAGAAATGCTCCAGATTAGGTGCTGACCAGTCCTCTTCAGTGTTTGAGACACTTTTCTGAATTTCTTGGGATTAAAATCATTTTTGGCAGGTCAACTGTCTCATTTGGGTGTGTGGACAGGTTGCTCGTTTTCTGTATGTTTTCCACACACCTTCCTTGCAGTGTCTTCACATGGAATCGTCTCAGAAGGGTCACCAGGATGACTTTCATCATCACCATGGCAATGTATTTCCCTGCACAGCTACGGGGCCCAAAGCCAAACGGCTGAAAATACCTGTAAGGAACCTGTGGAAATTACGGGACAGTCATTACATTGGGAAAGGCCATCATTTTGCAGTAGTTTCTGATTCACTCTGAAGACCCTGGTTGGTCACAACTTTTAGTTTCAGGGGTTTGGGCAGGTTCCTCACTAAGGTGAAGGAGTGAGACAAGATAATCCCATCTAGAGATTTACCTCTAGTAATACAGACCCAACCTAAGAAGCTCCCCTTTTGCCTTTCCTGTCAGTGAGCTGCAGTAAAGGGAGGCAAATCAGCTTATTGTAAGTAATGCTAGGAAACCAAGCCATCTCCGTAGACCAGCCAGCTTTATGACTGCTTTCAAATCACCAAGGCAAAGCTTGGCTTCAGATGCAGGAGAGAGACAGGCTGCATTCTTGGCCTGTCTGTGCCAAACATTTGCTTTTAGGTATACGGCAAATGAATGAGGATCATATCTTTGTGTCATGCTCGCATAGTCCCTGGCATGTAGAAGTTGCTCATACAGTCTTGTTGGTCAGTTGACTGATTTGCATGGCATTATCTCGGTTGCCAGTGTAGAAACAGGCTAAATTAACATAGTAGATTAGCATTGTGTTTCTAGACTCATTATAATGAGGTGAAAAGAAAAACTGGCACTTAGATTTAAAAGCACTGTCACATAAATTTTGATATGATTAGGCTTAATCTCCAGTATTCATCAGTGGTATACAAAAAAGCTGAAATGTTAAGACTCACAAAGCAGTACTCCAAAAAATTCTCAAGGATATTCTAATAGAAACAGTGATATGATGAATGTCAAAAAGTACAGGAGAATGAATGCATCAGGTAGGGTAAGCTGCTAAACAGAAAAGGGATAATAGGAAACAGTAACCATAGAATAATGCAAGGACAGGAATATGTGAATACCTTCTAGTTGTAACTCTCATAGTTCCTAATAAAAAGACCTCAGATTAGAAGACTATATCGAACTATGAAACTGAATGTTATGCTATATAAAAGAAACATATTTACTCCTAAAAGAAATTGAAAGACTAACAATCAAAGAATAGAAAACAATATTTCATGCAACTTGAACCTCAAAAGAAGTAGGAGTAGCTATTGTAGTGCAGACACCATGGACTTTATGCCACAGCTGATCATAAGAGGCAAAGGTCAGCATATATTGGTAAAGGGAACAATTCAACATGAAGAGATAGCATATATATATATATATATATATATATATATATATCATCAGAGCATGCAACTTCATAAAAAATACTACTTAACATAAAAGATCAGATAAACAACACAATGAGAGTGGGGAGCTCCACACCCCAGTATCATACATAGACCTATTAGCAAGACAGTATTTCAGCAAAGAAATAGCAGAGTTGCATCACCCCTTCCAACAATGGACTTAGCAGATATCTACAGAACATTCCACTGAACAGTAGAATGCAAATTCTTCTCAATAGCACAGTACTTTCTCCAGAGTAGACCACACATCAGCCCATGAAGCACTCTTCAATAAATGCAAAAGAATCAAAAATTTTCCACACATTATCAGGCCGTAGCTCAATGAAACTAGAATACAATGGCTAATAAATTACAGAAGTTATGCAGGTACATGAAGATCAAATAATATACTTTTGGATACTCAACAGATCCCAGAAGAAACCTAGAAAGAAATTAATCAGTTCCTATAGTGTGGTATACCAGTATATTGGATGCAGTGAAAGCAGTCCTAGTATAGATGTTTATAAGTGTAAATACCCAGAACAGAAAAGTAGACCAAGCCCAAGTAAATAACCTAAAAATGTACCCCAAATTCCTAGACAAACAAAAGTAACCTAAATCCAATGCTAGTACTAGGAAGGAGATTACAAAGATCAGAACATATATTGATGATATACTTTATACATATAGATATACTTAACCTATCTTACCAGAAAAGATGTATATCAGTGCAGTTAGAAATGAAGAAGGCAAAATCACAAAGGACACCACCAAGGTCAAGCAGCTTATAATTCATTGCTTTAAAAAATATTCCAATATATTGGAGAATACAGAAAAAATGGACAGATGTCTAGATTCATGTGAATTACCAAAACTGAACAAAGAAGTTACAAAAAGTGTGAATAACTCATTAAAAGACAATGCAACGGAGATAGTAATGAAAGATCTACCAAGTAAGAAAAGCCTAGGGTCCAATAAATTCACAAGTGATTCTATAAAAACATTAGGGACAATCTAATACCATTATTCCTGAAACTCTTCGGTGAACTGGAAAGGTAAGGCAAACTGACAAATTCACTCTTGGAATCTAACCTAACCTTGATTCCAAAACCAGATATAAAAAAAGAAAGCCACAGACTAATCTTAATAAATACAGATGCAAAAATCCTCAATCAGATATGGAAAAAGAGGATGCAGTCGTTCTTTAACAAGATCATACATCATGGTTGAGAAGGCCTCATCCTAGGGATGAAAAGATGGTTCAGTATACACAAATTAATAAATGTAATACATCACATAAATTGAAACCAGGACAAAAAAATACAGGCTATCATCTTAATAGACACAGGCCATATCAAAGCCTTTGATAAAATTGAGCATCCATTCATGAATAAAAACCCTAATCAAGACATCCTTGTACTGGCACACAAAAAAATACAGATGAATCAGTAGAACAGAATAGAGGATGCAGAAGCAAACTCAGGCACATTCAAGCCCCTGTTCTTCAACAAAGGGTCTGCAAAGACTTGCTGGAAGAAAGATACCGTCTTTAACAAATGGTGCTGGAAAAGCTGACTATACCAATATAGAAGATTGAATTTAGACCCATATGTCTCACTATGTCCTCAACTAAAATCAAAATGGATCAAAGATCTAAATATTAAAACAAAAAAGAGCCCTACTTGAAGATAAAATAGGTAAAACTCTTGAACTTAGGGGTATAGGCAAGGACTTTCTGAACAGAACTCTAATTGGACAAGATATAACAGCCAAAAATCAAGAATGGGATTACATAAAATTAAGAAGATTCTGCACAACAACAGAAATAACCAACACAGTGAAGAGTTAAGCTACAGAATTGGAAAACAAACTACCAGCTACTCCTGCCACTGAAGACTAATATCTAGAATATATAGAGTTCCAAAAAACGGGCCCCCTAAGAGACCCAATCAAAAAGTTATCACCTATAACAAATAGATATGGCTTAAGAGAAGTATAAATGCTCAATAAATATTTGGAAAAATGGTGAATATCTCTGTCCATTAAAGAAAAGCAAATTAAAACAACAGTGGTATTCAATCTTAATTCAAAAGATTGAATGGCTATTGTTGGCTATTGTCAAAAAAATTAAATATGGCCAGTGAAATAGCTCAGTGGACTAAGCACCTGCTTAGGCAAGTGCAGGGACTGGGGTTCAATCCCTGCTGCCATATGCTGTGCAGGCCCTGCCCCCAGGTGCACTGAGTGCCCCTGAGACTGGGTGTGGTGGCACACACCTGCAATCCCAGTGCTGGGGAGGCTGAAAACAGGAAAATCACTAGGAGTCCAAGCTGCATAGTGAGAGCCTATACCAAATACATAAAAAAAGGAAATTAAATAATAAATATTGGCAAGGCTATGGGGGAAAAAGGAACATTTCTGTCATATTTCCCCCACATATGATCTGTCTGGGAAATATGCCTTATTATGATTTTTGAGGAGGCTTGTAATATAAGCCCTACCCCCAAATTGAACCCTAGTCAAGATAAACAGAGGCATTTAGTATGTCCTTTGCAGCACATGACAGACATACTGAATTATAATTTATAGACCCATCATCTTGTCTGTTAGGCCAAATGTGGTGCCATGTTCCATGTTAGGGATACTGTGTTTTCTGAGGAGGTGAAAGGGAAACAGTAAGAGGATTTGAGTGCACATGATACAAACACATGAAGGAGAATGGATTTAACACCTGACATTAGTAAGAGTAGTAGAGTAGATGTTAAGGAAGGACTCTTACATTCTTCTCAAAGTTTTCTAGAGTAAATTCATTGGGCTTAGGGAAAAACTCCAGTCTATGCATTCTTCCAATATTCAGGATAATGTTAGTTCCCTTTTTCACTGTGTAGCCATCAATGACATCATCTTCTAAGGCTTTGCGCATGACCAAATCCACCACAGGCTGGTAGCGCATGCTCTCATAGATGAAGTTTTCTAGCACTTTTAATTTCTGTATATCATCAATTTCTATGTCTCTTTCACCTGTGGACACCAATAAAAAAGAAAAGGAAGGTAATGTTAGTTTCAATATTTCATGAACATTAATTTTCCTGTTTTTTCCACAGAACAGTTTTCATGGTTAAAGTCAAGTTTAATACTTCCAATGCACACTAGCACTCACAACCAAGTATGCTATATTCAGCCAATACACTTTTATTAAAATCAAATATGAGGTCAGTTATCTTAAAACCTGGAAGATTTCATAGATAAGCTGAAATCTCTTGGAAAATATGGTAACACTGGCCCACATGCATCGAAGGGCTGAATTTGAGACTTCACTTACCCCTTGAGAGGGGTATACACTCTATAGATCCATGTCAAATACACACGGTCTGCTCCACACATTCATCCTATCTGTCTGGTCTCTGAGGCTGTGAGTTTTGGTCCTGGGCTCTAAAATCTAGGGAATGGTCATGAGAAAACTAGAACCACAGTCACCCCAGAGGAGTGGGAGAGGCTGCTTCTGTGGTCAGAAAAGCACATGGACTTAGTCCATATCAGCAAAATTTTCTCCTCTGGTGATCTGTGTAGTCATCTGCACACACTCCATTCATGGCACCTCTGCATCTCATCAGAGCAGCCTGTTACAGTGGAGTGACAAGAATCCACCTACACAGTGGCAAAATATGTGCTGCACACCAGGGTGGGGATTGGTATTGATGAGCATCTCTTCTTCAGCCTGGATAGATGCCAGTCAGGAAGATTAGTTTAGTACCAGAGACGGCAGAGCCACAGAGAGCCCTCAGTGGGCCACTGCCTTTGCAGACTCAGAACCCGCCTAGTGTCTTGTGGCAGCCCTGTCTCCTGTGTAACTAGACTCCCTAGCAGGTCTAGTGTGACCATAGCACTGTGCCAGTACTAAAGGGCCTGCCCCCGTGCTCTTCTGCTGAGGATCTAGTGGGGAGAACATAAGTGGGGTGGGAGCAGAAGGGAAGAGGACCAAGCTGATCAAAGTCATTTGCTAAAGCGCTGGGACCACATCTTGTGTGCTGAGCACAGAAGGGAACACGGACACATGTACAAGTGTTCTGCTGTTTGTCCATATTGTTGTGTCTGCTGAAGAATCAGGGAAACATCAGGAAGCACAAGAAGGTGGCCATGGTGCCACACATACGGTGTTCACATGTGCAAACACAGCCTTAGAAACTCAGAATTACCCTATCTTATATGAAAACCCAAAAAGTGCTGCAGATGCAGCTCAGTGTATAGGTCCTTGGTTTAAGCCTCACTGCAGCCAAGCAAAACAAAGCAAAGAAAAAAAAAATCATTATAAAGACTTCTGTCTTTTCTGCTCTGGCAATTCTGATCTCTCCTGACTGGCGCCATGTTTCTCTGAGGAGTTGGTGTGGAAAGATGTTGAAGCAGAGGCAGGGCACAGAGTTGGGAGGCAGGCAAGAGTAGGCCAGGGACCTGCTCCTGAGCATGTGAAGGGCCGCATCTCTGGCCAGGAGCAATGAAGGGAATCCACCCCTCCCCTGTGTTTGCTATTATCCTTTCCTCCTCCTGCCATCTGGAAGCTCAGTTGTGATCAGACTGCTTCTAACTCAGAAGCACATCCGTAAATGACAGCTGTTTTCCTGGGTGCGTGCACAGAAAGCTTTTTGACTACTAATGCTGGAATAACATTGTACATGATCCCACCTTCTTGTAAGATAGACAAATTTCCCCATCTGTCTTTGTCTGCACAAGCAAATGATCTTGAGGAACATGCAGCATACACGGAGCAGGGATTGCCCCTGTGGTGGGAGTGAGGCTGGGAGGACAGTGGAAAGCCCTGGGATTATCACTTTCTGCTTTGTACTTCTCTTCATCTGAAATTTTCATAGAACCATCTTTCAAACAAATATAACTCCCTCTAAATGTCAAAGGAAATGACAGAGGGAGTTATATTTTAAGCTTTGTGGTTGAGCTGATACAGTCTTACCAATGACTGTCTGGATTTCCTTCATGATGGCCTCTTCAACCTTAGGGTGCTCTGCTATGAGAAACAGCATGAAGTACACCGAGACAGACATGGTGTCAGGCGCTGCAATGAGCATTTCCAGTATGCACTGGTTCACATTCTCTCTTGTGAGTTCTCCACGTTTCTGAGCAATTGAAAGAGGGGGAAATTCAGACAAATGAAAGGGGAAGTAACCCTCCAAGACCAACCACCTCCACACAAGGCAATTACAGAAATTGTGTCTCTCCCACTGACTGTGAACACTTCGCATGAGGATCTTCAGCTGAAATAGGCACAGTTTAGCCGACTAGCCGTGCTTCAGGTGCTTGGGTTCCATAGCCGTGGATTGAACCAAGCAGACATGGAAAATATTTTTTTTAGATTGGATTTGCTGAACATAACTTTTCTGCTTGTTGCTTTCACATACACAGTACAGTAGAGTAACTTTTTCCAAAGCATATATATTATATTAGATATTACAGTTCATAGATGATCCAAAGTATGCTGAAGATATGCCCAGCTTACATGCACAAACAGTACCACTTTCTATAAGGGACTTGAACACCCTTGCATTGTGGTATCTGGGGAGAGTTCTAGAGCACAGCCCAGTGGGTACTGAGGGAGCACAGTAGTTAGCCTTTTCGGTGTCTCTGCTTCCTCTCTCCCTATTTTGTGTCATGAGTTTCCCTCTTAAAATTTATTCTTAATAGGCCTTTTACTACTGTTTACACAGGATTGCTAGAGGAAGTGGTTCAAAAGGGAAATATGAAAGGGCCAGCCAGATGGCTCAGCAGATTAAAGTGCTTAGGCAGATGCAGGGGCCAGAGGTTCGATTCCTGGCCTGCTATTCTGGCCGCACAGCCTGGGCACACTGAGACAGTAATTGAGACTGGGCGTGATGCCCAGCACCTGAAATCCCAGCGCTAGGGAGGCTGAAAAACAGGAGGATCACTATGAGTCCGATCTGTGTAATGAGACCCTGTAGACCCTGGACTAAAATACATTAAAAAAAGAAAAATATGCAGCAGTTTTAAAAGGAGAGCTTTCCTCCCCTGTACACAGATGGTCACAATGTGTTGTGTGGATAACAGGTTAGTTCTTGTCAGTACCTCAGCAAAAATCAACTCAGTGGCAAAATCCATACACTCTTCCAGTTTCTCTGCTGTGCAAACCTTGTGTCTTTTTTCTTCTACCAAATTATCTATGGCATCTTTCAAATCCTTCCTAGAGGAAAAAAAAAAAGGCAAAATATGATCTTATAGTCAGTTTATACAGATAGCAAAACAGACTCATTTGCTCTTTGTTAAATGAAATATTCTGCTTTAATTGAAGCCAGGTATGCTCATAGTAGATTAATTTGTATCTTATGTCTCCACAAATATGCTTAATTTACATATACTTATGTGTACTTCCTATAAAGGTAGCCAAGTTAAGTAAGATTGCTGCACACTGTAGCAAAATTAGATACCAGTTTACAGCTAAAGTTTAAAAACTTATACCAAAGGTCACATGAAACTATGTTTTGTAACTTCTGATTTGGCAGGTACAGTTGTTCACTTAAAAATGTAGATGTCTTTAATGGTGGCACATGATATTCACTTTATCACAAACATGCCCTTTTCGTATTTTCTCATAGCTACACAGCAGAAGTTAATTTGCCTGGTCCCGAAGATTACTGAGGTTGAGGGGTGTGTGTGTGTGTGTGTGTGTGTGTGTGTGTGTGTGTTTCCTTTCAGTGCTTAGGATTTAAGCCAGAGGTGTTTTACAACTGAACTACACATCCACAGACTCCAAATTTTTTTTCTTTTCAGACAGGGTCTCACTAAGTTGTATAGGCTGGCCTTGAACTTGCAAGTTGTCCTGCCTCAGCTTCCTGAGTAGGAGAGATTATAGATATGCATGATGCTGCACATGACTGAGTTTGAGATTCTCATTATAGATAATAACTTTTAGTAGAGTGAATATTCTCGATAGTTTTTAGATTTAGTCTCATGTCTTATGGCTTCTACACTAGGTAAGTATTTGCTGAAACAATGTGTGGCTACATAAATGTACTAAGCATTTGGACAGTGCAGTTTCAGGAAAAGCCCCTTTGATAAGGGTGAGGTTTTAGCCCAGGTCCTTCTCTTTCTGTGTAACTCATTTGAGTTCTGTGAACCTTGTGCATCTTTCTAAGTGAAAGGATCAAACTCAACAGACAATGACATTATCTTGACATCTAAATTGTTATTCTTTCTTTCATTGTATGTGTTCATCCATGTATGTATTTTATATGGAAAAGATTCTGTATTATGTTAAATGTATAATTCGTCCTTCTTTTACATTCTGATTTTTATTGTCACTTGTATACTTCATTTGTAGATGTTTTTGGTATGTCATCTTCATGTTCAATACAGCTCACAGGAAATGTAAGGGAAGAATATTTAAACAATGCCCCAAATGTCCCACTTCAGTTTTAAAGTTTATCAGGACATCATAAGAAGGTAGTTAAGCATTTTTTTGAGGGGTGTGGCTCAGCCTGCCCTCACAGTGGGGCTGGCACAGCATGTGGTACCAGGGATCAAACTCTGGCCCTCTGTACCTGCCTAAGCTTGCCTAAGCAGGCACTTTAGACTGCTGAGCTATCTCATCAGCCCAGTAGTTAAACATTTTGAGAGGTATTTTTATAGTCTATGTAGTAAGTATATATCTCTAAACAAGTATCTAAACTCACACATGTCTATATAAACTTCTCAATATATATACCAAAAGATATTCACATAAATTTGTTTTGCTATCCATTTAGGTTTTAGTAAATGTTCTTTGAGAAATTTTTCCATAAAAAGGACAGATATTCACTCAGTTGCTGGTTATGGCCTTCCCTTCCTATAGGCTGAGAGTATCAATAGCATTTCTCCCTGAGCACTGGCCCCAAATGGCCCAGGAAGTATGACAATTCCCCTAGACTTTGAATCCATAGAGTTCTTAGAACCACAGCCACTACTGAGCAGATCCTTCCTCCCTGACTGCCCTCCGTGCTTGGGCAGCAGTAGCTTGCAGATGCCCTTTGGGGTCTGTTATGATTTATGTCTAGTTGTAGCCCCCAAAGCCTCATGTAAGTTATGGGGTAGACAGGGCTGGAGGAGCAACGAGTGGCTTGTGGGGTGGAGCCAGAGGAGCAGGGCAGGGCCCAACGGGTGGAGCCAGAGAGACATGAACCATAAAACTGGCTAGCCTATCCTTTCTCAGAGATGTGAAGAGGGTCATCCCGGACACAGCAGCACCCCAGCCTCTTCCCCAGACCCTGTAGAGCAGGGGCAGTGTCTTGAAGCCTCCAGTAACTGTGAGCTAAATAAACTTTTCCTTCCTTCATTTTGAGCATCAGGTATTTGTCCCAGCAATGAGATAAGAGCAACTAAGACAGAATTAGATGTGGGGAGGGTCATCCTGGACACAGCAGCACCCCAGCTTCTCCTCCAGTGTCTTAAAACCTCCAGTAACTGTGAGCTAAATAAATCTTTTCTTCCCTCATTTTGAGTGTCAGGTATTTGTCCCAGCAACGAGAGAAGAGAAACTAAGACAGAATTTGGTACCAGAAGTGGGGCTACAGAAACAGAATATAGTGATGGCATTTTTAAAAAATGGTCTTAAGAATTCTTGGAATTGGCTTTGAGACTTGATGAGACCTAAAGACACAATGGTCTCTTCTGGTATTAAGGAGAATATTGATACTCCTTGGCATGAGGTTTTTGAACTAACATGCCATATAGATCCATTTGATTATCTTAATTTACCAGGAATTAGGATAAATTCCTAATGTCAGGAATTTAGAGATTCCATGCAGAAAAATTTTGAGTCTCTCTGGCAGAGTAGGGAATATAATGATGTGATGCCACTTGGTTGGTCTTAGCTTCAGTGGACGAACTTATGTATGAAAATAAGGAGCTTAAAGATACACTTTTCTGCCTTCAGACCCAGATAAAAAATTTAAAAGTGTCTAAGTGTGTCCTGACAAAAACATTTTAAAGTGTGTAAGTGTGTCCTGACAGAAAATCTCCTTTCTTTTAGCCACAAGGTTGAGGTTGCAGAGACCCAAATGCAGTCCCTCATAATACAATTGACTGAACTGCACAATAAATTAAATGCTCAGCCTCAAAGAGTATCTGAAGCAAAGATGAGGGCACTGTTTGGAAACGAATGGGATCCCATGAATCGGAATGGAGATTTGGGGAGAGTCATCCTGGACACGGCAGTGCCCCAGCCTCTCCTCCTCTGTCTTGAAACCTCCAGTAACTAGTTAAATAAACCTTTTCTTCCCTCATTTTGAGTGTCAGGTATTTGTCCCAGCAACCAGAGAAGAATAACTAAGACAGGGTCCTTCCTAATTAGTGAGAGGTTGACCCTACATAAGTGTATGCTCTGGATTCAGATTTTCATCAGCACTAGAAGAACTGAGATCAGTGGCAGTTTCTGGAGAATAGTAATTCTCAGACTTACAAGCATCTATTAGAAGAATCTATTTATGATTTGATGGTTTGGAATTCTGAGTACCTTTTCCACTAAGACAATGATAGAATGAGTGCCAGCTCATTCTACAGACAACTATGTAAGGTTTGTGTGGTTAAAACCTTTATTTTGCAAAATAAGTGATGGAAAACAATAGTGCTATGATATTTGGAGTTAAAAGAAGCAAATATAAAACCAAGTAGATATGGAGCAGGTTTCCAAGCATTTTGTTTGAAATAAATTTTTAAGAAGTTTTGGCATTATTTTAAGGAAGTGGTGGGGTGGGATTCAAAGATTTCTCTCAGTTTTTACTACTCTAGAATACAGGAGACAGAAAGGTATACCCCAACCATCCTTAAATGCTACATATAGAGGCAGTGTTGCTGAGCTGCTATCTGCC